AGGCATGTCCTGCCTTCGCTGCATCTCGACCCTCATATCTGCTATTGCTGCATCAGTTGCACAATTAATTCATTTTGCTCTGCCACGGTGGGCTGAGCCACCACAACATCTGTGAGACTGATTTCATCATTATTGTCTCCCATGGTTGTATTTCCTCTGTCTGAGTTTGGTCCGGGGAAGGAATCTACAGGACCTTTTGATCTGGTGAAGTAGGGGTGATCTGCCAGCTTTTATCAACACAGATCAGTTAAAGGTACCTGAGAGGTGAAACAACTCAAAGGCAAATTTGTTAGTGCATATTCGGAGTACAAAATGCATAATATCACATAGAAAACAGATACACACACAAGTCGCTTTGTTTGAGGATATCTTAACCCACGAATGAGGACGGAAATATTATTTTGAACAAACAGGAATTTGTTTGTTTAACGCTATCTCGGGAAGGCTGAATCACGTTGAGCTATGGTCTTCTTGCAGCTGTCTTTCGATGCCCACTGATCTTACCTTCATATCTTTGTAACACGGAGGAGAATGAAAATTTTTAGCGATAAGGGCCGGGCCGGGGAAGGTTGCCTACGTATCTCACAAGGAGAATTCAGGCCCAACGTAATTCGAGTTCGGGATGAAATCTTTTCATTCATTCTTTCATTGCGATTACAGGGGAATTGAAAAACAATATTGAAATTCCTAGAAGATGACGATAACATTTTGGTGATTTCCCGTCTTGTGGCTGCGTCATTCCTTTTCTTTCAAACAATCGAAAATGGAGGATTGTAGATGATTTCCTCCTCATCGTCCTCCTCAATTACTTTATGGTCGGAGCCACTGTTATCTGCTCCCTGATCGCGGGCAAGGTATTTTCCGCCCTTTAAGTTTCTATAGGTCGTCAATTTCTCATCGAGCGACGCACTTTTAGCCGATAGTACGGCAGTCTCAATATCTATCTTTGCTTCTCTCGCCTTTCCTTCGTGCACCTCTAAACGAAGCATGTTAACCTTTTTCTTAGGCTTTCGGTCTCCATCTCAACCTCTTTCTTTCTTTTCATCTGCGACGCCAGAGCCAAGCCAAAAGCGGGATGTGTCTTTGGGTAAAGCCTGGGAATCAAGCCAGTGAGTTTCAGGTCTTCATCCAATGTCGTGGCTGTAGCTTTGTAGATCGCCGTGGTCATGTCAACTTTGAGTCCTTCCTCCTTAACCTTTTGAATTTCTCGAGCGACTCGCTCGATCTTTCTTCGCAATTCCTCTCCCGTGAGCTCCGTTTGGACGTTCTTGCCTTTATCCATAGCGATGATTCACCTTTCCTGAGACGATAGAGCGGTATTTAGGATTTGTGGTATGGGAGATGGACTTTTGAGTGAGAAACTTGAGACTTGGGAATTTTGGTCGGACATTTGTAATAGTGGCTTCCGTATATTCTTTGGAATTTCTGGCTAGGAGTGGGTTTACGATATCCTCATTCAAAGCAACATAACACGTAAGCACTTAAACACACATATATCTCGCGTCCTAAACATGCATGTGACCCTTTTGTGCCAAGGGGAGGCCTAGCGATCTGAAGGATGTATTGCGCCATTTAAACAAATAATTGTATCCCCGAAATAAGTTTCACTAAATATCATAGCGTTCATTACATAATCAAAATCAAAAGGGATACATATAGGAAGGGTATGTATTGCGAATACATATAAAATCAATCCCACGCAGGGGAGTTAAAGGGTTGATGATTCAACTCCTCTTTTGGCCTTCTCTACTTCTTCGCGGATAACGTACTTGCTGGTGAACACGTACGGCTCAGCGAACACAGCTTTGGAAGATGTTGGTACGACTCGTAAGGTGTTCATCTGCTCATCGAGAATAGTGTCCAAACTCATTAGACAAGCCCTTGTGTCAGCTAATTCTTGTGACGTCACAGCCAAAACCCTCTGATTTTCCAATTCCCGAAGTTGGTACTCTTGTTCCTTTTGTTGAAATTCCTGCTCTCTCTTATGAAATTCTTGCTCCCTTCGGTCCCACTCTTGCTGAAAATGGTATGCGTGAATCTGAAGCCTTGTCTTCACGTCTTCGATTTTCCGACCCGTACGTGGTGTTTGATCCACTACACCATGCATATCATTGTGCAACCATGTCTTGTATTCATCGACATACCCAGCTCCATACCTGTTTTCGGTCACCTCCCACTTCATGTTGACACGGCCGGCCCATTCCTGGAGGATAATCTTAGTGAAATGTATTTTGTCCTTCTCGCTGTAATCGACAATGAAAGAGCTAGCATCTCCTTAGGCGGGTATGATTTGGACTTTCCCAAATTGTCGCATCACTTTCGTTGGGTTGTAATGACGCAGTCCCCTGATGCCCGAAAGGACTTAGAATGGAAGTTTTGCCCCTTGTGCTGCTATCATCTGGGACTTGAAGCTCGGTAACACCCACTATATGTCTCCCTCTTTCAAATCATAAAACACCCTTGCCCACGCATCCCTGTTGGTGTGAATTGGAAATTTACGGATACTCAAGTAGAACTTGTAATTATTGAGAGGACTTGTTTGACTTGGTTTGGACAACTCCTGTGGCTGGGGGTCGTCTCTTTTACATAAATGTTCAGTCAACCACCATTGGAGTAGGATGTTGTAACCTTGGAAAAACGAGAACCCGTTTTTGCATAGACTCAAGGATCGGTAAATGTCGGCTAAAATGACTGGGGCCAAGCAGCAGTACTTCTTTTCTTCTGATTTTCTGCCGATTCCTCTGAACATGACATTCACTACCATCACTACTCGAGTGTCAATTTCTTTTCCTTCATCTTTAGGGAACACCATAGTTCCCAAAAGGCATACGGAGAAAGCGATAGCTTGAGTTTGTCTCCAGGTACTATAATCATGGATTTCGTTCGAGAATAGTCCGAAATAATTGTCATGCCCCCATCTCTCAAAAAATCTCATTAGTGGAATGTTGTCGGTCTCTAACCAATTTGCATTCACTAAGAATAATATGTCTCTCAGTTCGTTCTTAGTTGGCCTATCTGGTAGGAGAACATGATGATTCAAACATTTTTCCTTTTGCCACACATCCCTATCGAGTCAAGGCAGTCTTTGATTTCTTCTAGTGTGGGTGTTATTTCGACATCTCCAAATCGGAAGACCATCTTCTCATCATCCCAAAATTGAGTGATGACCTCGATAAATGTGGGTAATACCTTGAAGTTTAGTATCGAAGGTAGGTGACCCAAGTAAATCGAGATCTCTCTTTTCTGACACTCTTTGAGATTGCCCCACCATACTCGCAGAATATCGGGCGCCTGGGTGACCATTTTGAAATGAAGGAACTGACCCGACATCTACAAACCATGCAACCAGTTAATTTTAAATCCCCCTCGATACAAGAATCAGTTAAACATGCAATACATCCTTCAAATTTAAACAGATAAGTATGAACGTCTTATCGAGCCGTAGGCTCTTTGGACTCAAGGTGGTCTTTCTAATGGACCCAACACTCCTTGGGTGTCGGGTCGTCTTAGGCCAATGTGCTATTTTTCAGGATTGAGTTTCGCTCTATCTTAGTTTGACTAAGAGTGGGTTGCATGTAAAGTGGAATGGGTAACCCAAGCGGACTACTTGGGCTGGGACAATTAACGATCGTTGACTATCAAGTAGTCAACTACACTCGTCAGGGTGCCCCGAGAAAATCTTTGGTTAACGAACGACTGCGAACCCGCATAATCGTCCTTTAGTGGAATTGAAATAATTGTCGTTTGACGGAAGTATGATATGTTATGCATGCAATGACAATACATGAAAGATTAAGCAATTCCGCACAAATAATAAATAAATCAAATTAAACAAGTAGTCAAACAATCAAATCTTGTGGTTAGAACTTTAATTTCCCCAGCGGAGTCACCATTCTGTTTTATTTTTTTTAAAAAAACTACTAACTATTTGGTTTAAAAATGGAAAAAATATTGACTAGGTTTCGAAAAATCAACTAATCTTATTGTTTAAGAAAAATCGACTTTTCAAAATTATGGAGTCGCCACTTTATTTTTATAAAATCAAAAAAAAATTCAAAAGATTTAAAAACAGATTAAAATCGATTGAAAAGGTTTGAAGTTCAATGTACATCCCGAGAAGGTGTTAGGCCCTCGAGATGCCCGCTAACTTGCGGTTGACCGGCGATTTGACTAAAATGACTTTAATATATATTTTCAATTTTTAACTTAGTAAGAAATCGTTTTGATATATTCTTTAATTTTTAATTTTTTTGTTTCCTTAGTACTTCTAAAGGAAAACATTTAAAGGAGAAACTTAAGGAAAATGGTGATAAAATAAAACAAAATAAGCAAATAAAGTGGTAAATTTTAAAATAGTGAAGATTGGCTACCTCTTAGGAGATTATTAAAATTCTACCACAACATTAATTAATTCAAGCAAATAATAAATAAAGAGGAGAAAAATTTTGAACTTGGGCCTTATTGCCCAAATTCATTTCATTGGGCTTTCGCACACCTGTCCTATCTAATTTCAAATGTGGACTTGGGCCCTTTCAATAAATTAAAAATCCTGCAAAAAAACATTGTTAAAAAATTGCTGAAGGGCCCTGGCTCATTCCTGAAAAAGGGCTATGAGGGATATACACAAATATATACATACTGTATACAGTATATATTTGACCCATTTTGGACCTTTTGAGCCTTGCACCTGTTTGACTACATATTTTCGTTATTTCCCCCCTGTATTTCCGCATTATTCTGCGTATTTGTACCTGTATCATTTTTAAAACTTACTTAACAAGTGTATATCGTTGCCCAATAATGTATACTAATGTATACAGGCTGCACCCTACCTCCACATTATTTGCCTCATCCAGAACTTTAATTAAAATAAGCGTCCCTGTATGTTTCCATGCCAACCATATTTTTTAAGCATATCTATAGTATATCGTTTCCGTATATCTGTGTAAACAGGCTGTATATCGCCTGTTTTTCAACTTTCGAAAGTTGAAAACTCCTTTTCAGAAGTGTAATTTCCCTGTCGTCAACTCAAATTTTGAAATTGGATCCATCTGTACGTCTTCGACCTGTATATCAGTGCACATCTGTGTATAAAAGATGTATACTGCTGTATACATGTTCTTCAAATCCCTGCAACAACTTTTCCAGCAGTTTCTGCTGGTTTTTTTTCCGACCTGTACATCCTTTCAGGGGTTGGCTAACTCAGAAAAGTGTTTTGAGCCTTTATGGCTCAACGAGAAGGTTCAAGGAATCGGAGTGAGGTCCATGAGGACTCGAGAATAGTTAATTCAATATCACATCATAATATTAATGTCACTCATAAACGAAGTAACTATGATAATCCAAGCGATTTACATCAATCAAACCCAACTAGAAAGAAAGTCGGAGACGAAGCGAGATATAACTTAAACAAAATTCTACAAACTTCGCTATGCATGCTGGAATGTATGAAAACGACAACCTATAGCTTTATCAAAATTTCAAAAAAATAATACCTCAAACTCAATAATTCAGAAATGGAGCCATTAAGTACGAAGGAAGTGAGCTGCAAAACATATATTGCGTTTGTTTTCTTTTCTTTTCTTTGAAAAGAAACGTAGACAAGAAAAAAAATGACATGGAATAAGGCAGCCATATACTCGAAATTCACGTTAAATAACAGCGGTTTTCAAAACATAGGAACCTTGATTGCACAACTCTTAGATATGAAATGACATAACTTGCAGCTAAACTCCAACAGCACCTTCGAGATGAATACATGAAAACTATCTAACAAATGATACAAGAATCCAATTCAAACTTACATAGTCAACGCTAAACACAACAACAATCAAAGCAAATGACTGTATGCGAGCAGTTCCCAAATAGAACCTAACAGAGTTGAAACATACGAGAAGAAGAAGAAGAAAAGATGACATGGGATTTCATACTCGCTAAAGAAACATACAGATGCACTCACTGATAGAACGAAGCTGATTGACACTAAACGAAAAATAAAAGAAAATCGTCATGCTACATTCCAGATTCAAGCACAGCCAAACGAGGCATAATGCCTCATATTCACAATAATACAAACCCCCTACTCAATATTTTAAGCAAACCACATACTGACCACGGTGATGCAGTCAAATATTTTTTTTACACGAATGAAACTTAAAGATAGAAAGCGACGAGAAAATTAAACAAATCGTAGAAACAGATTACCAAACTTCAGAAGAATCCATCTCAGAACGAAAGAAACAAGAAAGTTATACGAAGTAGGGGATTACCTCTTCGGAAGCAACAAACTGGAACAACAAGGAGCTAATGACTTCACCACCTTACGAAGACTCGAACCCCTGGCGAAGAAACGAAGTCTAGTCGAGAACTTAGACTCAAACACGAGACACTAGCAACTCTTTTGTCTATCAGTCGTTTTCAAAGTATTTGCGATATTTTCTCAAATTTCTTGATATTTCAATGATAAACAGAAAGAAATTTACTCCGGCAAACCCTTACAACGAAATCTCAACTAAAAATTTCCAACCCCTGACTAGTGAAGAGAAAGAACTATTTATAGAAGAATGGTAGGGTTCACAAGGGAAAGGGCTAAAGGGTTAAATTTTAGGCCCATACCGAATTTGAATTTCAAAAACCCAAATCCTATCCAAACTGAGAATATGCCTATTAGATGCCAAAATCTCCAACGAATTGAGGTCGAGGTGGAGGGACGAGATCGAATCGTAGTACTGGTGGGTCGACGTGGAGCTATCTCGTGCTGCAAGGACGGAAACGCGTCTGGCAAAGCTGTAAAATCCAGCCTGCCCTGCTGTGAGGTGTACTGGTAAGGGAGAGGGGAATGAGAGCGTGAGGAGACGCGGGGAGAGGAGTGAGAGAGCAGGGAGAGAGTGTGGGGGAGACACGGGTGCTTCTGCTGGGAATCGCCTCTTCGTCCTTGAAATTTGGACGAGGCAGAAGGGAAGAAGGAGGGGGGAAGGGGGTCGCGTGAGTTTCTTTGGGAATGGGGTCGGGTGGGTGGAAGGGGGAGGAAGAAAGGGGGAAAGGCTGGGCTGGACGGGTCGGACGGGAATGGGTGGGCCTGGGAATTAATTGAGTTGGGTTGAAGGGAATTAATTGGGTTTAGTAGAGGAGTGGCCTAGGTAGGTAATGGAGATGGGCCGCCTGGGAGTAGGGAGAATTGAGTCTGGGAATGTTGGGATTAATTTGGGTTGAAGGGAATTAAGTTTAGTGGGTTGGCAAGGAAAATGGGTTGAGTATCAAAATGGGTGTCAACAAATTGTCTGCTATAAGAATGACTTGGATTACAACTCGTCGGAAGTATTAGTTATATAAATTTGAACAATCATGTGTAAATTATATAAATATTAGTTAGTTTATTGTTATTTAGCTTTCCAACTTATCATACAATGTCAATTTTTCTATGTAAATTCAAAATAATTATTCAAAATTAAAGAACAAACAAATTAATTTTTTTGTCAAAAGGCAGTTCGAGAAATTAATATTATTCTTGTTCTTTCTTTTTTCCCAATCAATCAAAACAAACTGGAAAAAAAACAAAATAAGAAATAAAAAAAATAAAGAAGGCTAACTTACGTGCATGTACATATCCAATTTGAAGTACTACAAAATACAATGCATCCATCTTAGAAGAAAAAGTATATTCTAAATATTCCACTTTTTATATCACAAACAAATAAAATAATAGAAAAAATAACGATAATGAATTAAGTTTTAATACCTCCGCATATTACACATAATTGATTGGATTCCATTAATAGGAGCAATCCAGATTGCCAAGTCATTGGAGTCAATCATGAACATTTTTTTTTATTTGGAGAGTTCACATTTTGTGACACTTGTTATCATCATTCACATTTTGTACTGCCATAGGGCTTCATCTAGAACTAATGAATATACCTTTTGTTTTCATTATTATATGGTCATGATTGATTATGTTATCATCAAGTCATTCTTGTCTTGTTCGAAGCCAATTGAATCTCTTATCGTGATTTTGATTTTTTTTATCAAGAAAATATGACTTTTGTGATCTAATCAGACAGTAAAAGAAAGTACTTAGTAAGTTGAAAAAAAAAGTAATTATGTATTTAAGAGGATTCAAAGATGAGACCTCTTAATTAGGATAATGGTGTGAGATTCCATCCCCATATTAATAGTCAAATTCTTAATTTGGTACAATAACATACCAACTAAATCTACCAAGATAACTATTTAAGTTGCAAAGTTTGAAACTTAAGTATTTTCATGATGTCATTGGTGACACCATTAGTTGTAAATTTCATCTATAAATAGAGCATTCTTACTCATTTGTAGAACACACCAAAGCTAGAGAGAAAAACCACTTTGAGAGCAAAGTAAGATATTCTGTAGACTATACAAGAAAAAGTAGTTTGTGAAGAAAAATACAGTGTGAGTGATATTTTAGTAAGATGAAAACCAAAAGAGTGTTGTTCCTTTTGAGTGTGTAGTAGTCACTTTGAGTATTGTATTTGTGACTACACGATGTAAAATTCCTTACTATAGTAATATCAGTTGCTCTTCTTGGCCCGCAGTTTTTTCCTTATTGAGAAGGGTTTCCACGTACAATTCTTGATGTCGTTATTTTCCCATTTTATTTCCATTACTTTTACCATATATATTTTTGTGTTTATCCACATTTTCCCAACAAATAGAGTACTTAGTTGATTGAAAAAAATAAAATTAAAGTAACCTTCTACGGTCACTTAATTCTTGAATCCGTAAAATTGCTAATCGAAAATCATCTTGTTGTTTTTTCTTAATAATTGAGTCAATAATAAAATTGTTATACGATGATGATTAATGTACTCTTAGATTAGTCAAGAGTCGACGGATCTATAATAGCTTATTATTTAATTTTATCCAATCGTAATTTAATTTAAAATATTGGTTGGGATAGTCGACATTTCTAAATACAAAAAGGAAATCAATACTTCTCCGTACGTAAACGGAAAATATCTATTTACAATTAAAGTACAAAAGCAATGAACATAATCATGATTCAGATTGTTTATTAATCCTGTACATTAGTAGCAATTATGAGGACATTGGTTAAATCCACTAACAAACCTATTATTATTTCTATCGTTAGAGCAAGCAGTTGTTGCTTGTTCTAACGATTTAAGTTGTTTCTTAAGAAACTTAACATAATGGACAGCCTCGTCTAACATAGAAGCTGTGTCCATTTTGGTTCCTCCAGGAACAAGTCTTTGAAGAATTCTTATCTTTTCGCTTATTTTTTCCCTCCGATGTCTGGCTGCAACGCTCCGTGGATCCTTTGATATCTTTACGTTCTTTCTCTTAGGCGGTTTTACTGATTCCGGATCAATTTTGATGGGCTGCATCATCGCTATACCAAAAATCATCTCCCTCATTATCACATGATCAATTGATGATGAGTTGTGGATTGGTAGCAGTTGAATCATTTCAATGTTGTTGATGGATTGTGTAATCTCATTTAAATCCATGTGTTTTTTTTTTTGAGAGAAAAGTTGAAATAATATTAGTAAGAAAGAGGAAATCCTCCAATATGAGTTAGTATATATCATGGGGATGTTTGTGAATATATATATGTCTATTTATACATGGCAAGTTGTGGCTAACTTCTATGTTTTTATATTTGCTATATATCTCCACTACATTCCAAAATATATGTGAAATATTAAAGATCAATCTAGAACCTTATGTTGTCAACGTATTGATATATTTCTATGGAATTCATAGTATGTATCTTTAACTTAGAGATGCTAAAGTGGACAAGTTAGAGTTGATATTGGGAATGTTACAATGTATTGAGCTACTTTAACTAAAACAAATTGAAATCGAGTCATAATTAAAATCATCCAATTATTAGTAAGTTTTAAATTCCTTGTTTGTTTTCTTATAATTTGTTGAGTAACTAATGAATATTTTTTTCTTTATACTATGGCTATACATAACATATCCAACATAAAAATATTCCAACAAGTTTCTCGTCGATTAAATTGGATTATATAGACATTATCTCGATAGTCTAAATTTAATCGTAAATTTAAGTGTGAAATCTTTATATATTTGAAATAAAACTACTTATTTGAAAAATTAAATAAAAAATACTATAAATTATAATAATTGACAATTTAAAATATTTAAAAGACATGAAAAAGTTATAGTTAATTTTTTTTGTTTGAATCTCAAAGTTCAAGAATTCCCCGCATAAATTAAGAAGAAGGCAATAATTATCTTTGCGATGATATTCAATTGTATAAAATTTATTTACCATGTAGCATATAGAAGTTGTATTCTGAATCCATTCATAATTGGAGAAGTACCCAGGTCTTATTAATCAAAGAAGGGGAAGCAAATGAGTAAGGTGCATGAACCAAAATCCACCCATGACTCGAGAGTTAACCATTTCACAACTTAGAAGTGAGAGAATATTGCGTATTTTTACACTTTTAAGTTATATTATAACATGTAACTTTACAACTTAAAGGTAGAGAATATTACTACATTTTTACACTAAAAGTTATATTCATAATATGTAACTTCTAGCAACAAGTTTATCGTGCATGATAAAGTGTTTTTATTAAATATATTTAATTAAAATTTTGAAAAATTTCTACATGTACTTTTAAATACTTGTTACATAAATAAGTTAATCTGAAAAAAAAAAACTCATCTTAGATCTAACTCAACCTCAAGAATTAGCGTACAAGGGAAGATTTCTCCAAACAGTGCTGGATTCTGGATTTTAAGGTTATGGGTGCTCCTTTAGCTACCAATCACAAAATATAAGTGAACAAATTTAATGTTGCCAATATGTGTTTGAAAACAGAATTACTAATTCCAACAAACTTTACAAAAACACGAAGTTACGAAAGTTTAATGAATCAGTAAGGGATATGAATAGAAATTAATTAAGAAAAAACTAAAATCTGGTACGGAAAATTAGAACAAAAAAAGATCAAGTCCATTGAATTCACAGTGTCCGCTTAAGAAAATTATTCCTCTCTAGTATCTGAGGTTTGATTTCGAATATGTCCTCTCTGGATAGAATGGTATCAATCACCAGTGTATTGATACCAAAAACTCTGGTGTCAGCGAACAAGTCAACAACAATAAAGTACACGAAGAAACTTTTGTGCAAAAGAAGAAGAAATCAGAAAAATTTATAAGGAAAAATTCTGAAGAATGAATGGTATTTATAGGCAATAGGAAGAAGTTCCGAAAGGTTGCAACCCTTTCAGAATCCACACGACCATTGATAAAAGTTCGCAACCTTTCAAACGGTTGTGGTTGTTCCTGAAAGTTGCAACCTTTCAGAAAAATCATTTCCAAACGGTGGGAAATTTAATATAAATGGGAAAGATTTTAAATAAAATGGGTCGCACGGATCCGATTCAGATCGGGTTAATCAACTAAAAAGTTGAAACATCTCGGTTAATCTCAACTAAATAATTGAAACATTTCTGTTGTCAACTAATTAATTGAAAACGTTTTGGCTATTTAATTTAATTTATTAATTAAATATATAATTAACTAAATAATTAAAACAAACTTTGTCCCAAAAATAATCTCTCCATTGATCATTTTCTAAAGTCAAGACCAAGCCCAAACTGAAGTATAGCCGAAGCCGAGTGAGTGACGACGAAGACGGCGCGAGGGGGATCCCTCTTTCCAATCCTTTTAACAATTAATAGGAGTGTTTTTATATTTAAACTCTCATATTTTTCTTTCCACCACCGATGAGGGACAAATGTCTTTTAATTAATGTATCAGTGGACTTTTCAAGTTTTCAACTCTTCAAGTTCCCAACATTTCAAGTTTCTATCTTTTCATCATTCATCCATTTCCCATTAATTCTTGTTACATATGCAACAATCCCTCACATTAATGGGGAATGGTTATAACATAGGAATGCATAGACAAATGTGTAATTTATAGGCAAGGATTAATTGCATCTGGATAAGTAGGTTTCCCCTTGGACTTTCCATAGTGAACATATGTCGAATATACTCGGTCAATCGCTAGATGCGATATCTTTGAACTATCGATATTTGGTATATATCTAGATAACCATATGGTACACAACTAAGCCTTTACTGTTTATGCTTCTTATGATTGTGTTTGTTCCAGCCATGAACACTACCTGGTTTCATGAGTGTATAGAGAATAGACTTTTGACATAAGATTCTCTTTGAAGCGGCTTACACTTCACACTCACATAGGTGATTTCTAACTGTGTCATCTCGTAGATACACTATTTGAAAAAATCTGTCAAACTTAGCAAATCATTAAAAACCTTGAGCTTTATTTTAACTCATTAACAAACCTTAAAGTCTTAACCTTGTTCCTGAACATTGTCTTCATCATGATAATGCATTGAGTTTATTGACAATGTCGAACTGTCAGTCACGACTTCATTTTTCTCCTTGAATCTATCTCGTGGAATCTCCAGTCTACTAGATAAAATTACCGCCATGTTGACTTGTCCTAAGCCGTAAGCCCATTCCCTTAGATGATCTTTCAACTACCTTTCTCACTAGGCCTTTCGTTAGTGGATCTGACACATTATCGCTTGACTTAATATAGTGTATTGTGATAATTTTACTAGAGAGCAGTTGTCTTACGTTGTTATTTCTCTGTCGTATATGACGAGACTTATAGTTGTACATGACGCTCTACCTTACCTATTGCTACCTATTGTTGCTTAACTATCGCTATGTATGCAAATAGGTTCCATAGGTTCGGACCAAAATGGAATATCCTCTATGAAGCCATTCAACTTCTTCACAAGCTTTATCTAAAACAAAAAATGCAGATTCCATTGTGGAAAGAGCGATACATGTCCGTTTAGACAATTTCCAGGAGATGGATCCTCCACCTAGTGTAAACACATAAGCACTTGTGAATTTTACTTCATTTGACCCGGTGGTCCAATTTGCATCACTATATCCTTCAATCACATCTGGATATTTATTATAATACAAAACATAGTGTTATGTATGCTTCAGATACCCCAACACACGTTTCATTGACATCTAGTGAGTTTGATTCGGATTACTAGTGAACCGACTCAGTTTACTAATACATGCAATATTTGGTCGCGTATAATTCATAATATACATCAAGCGCACATTCCAATTTGAGATTTACTTTCACCTTCATTCTTTTGAAATGTAAAACTTAAATCAATTGAAGTTTTGACAACATTGAAATTCAAGTAGTTGAACTTATCCAATACTCTTTCAATATAATGAGATTGAGATAATGCTAGTTTCTGAGGAGTTATAATTCTGATCCCTAAGATCAAATCATAAACTCCTAAGTCCTTCATATTGAACTTTCTGGACAGCATGCACTTAGTAGCATTTATATCGTCAATATCTTTACTCAGTATTAACATGTATGAACGTACAAACAAACAATGACTTCATGATTTGAAACATTTTTTAATGTAAACATACTTATCACATTCGTTTATCTTAAATCCATTTGCCAACATTGTTTGGTCAAATTTAGTATGCCATTATTTTGGTGCTTGCTTGAGCCCATAAAGCGACTTCACAAGTCTGCACACTTTATTTTCTTATCAGGAACTAAAAAACCTTTAGGATATTCCATGTAAATTTGTTTCTCCAACTCTCCATTTAAGAAGGTTGTCTTTACATTCATTTGGTATATTTTAAGATCATACACTGTCACTAGTGCTATTAACATCCTAATTGATATTATCCTTGTTACTGGAGAGTATGTGTCAAAGTAGTCCCGACCTTTTTTTGTTCTGTATCCTATGACTACAAGTCTAGTCTTATTTTTGTATAGTTCCATCAGCTTTTATTTCCTTTTAAAGATCTAATTTGATCCTAAAGGTTTATTTCCTGGAGGAACATCAGTTGATTCCCAAGTATGATTACTCAAAGTTGATTCGATATCACTATTGAGCTTCTTTCCAATAAGTTGACTCAGACGAAGACATAACTGCTTTATATGTTTGAGTCTTATTTTCAAGCAACAGTGCCAAAAAATTTGGTCTGAAAAAAATGACTTTCAGTTGACTAGTGCTACTCCTAGTATCCTCACTAGGTAGTGTATTTTTCGTTGATTCTTCTTGTGGCCGTTTAGGTTTTTCACTTGTCGACTCACATTCAGTTTTATACGGATAAATGTGTTTAAAAAATTCTGCGTTATCTGACTCAATTATCGTATTAACATGAATTTCAGGATTATCAGATTTGTGAACCAAAAATCGACAGTCCTTACTGTTCACAACATATCCAATAAATACAGAATTTATCATTTTGGGTCAATTTTTCACCCTTTTGGATAAATGAACCTCTACCTTGGCTAGACAACTCCACACTTT